TCACTCGCGCGGCATTTGGGGTCACTCGGGGTCACTCTGGGGTCATTCGGGGTCATTTGGGGTCACTCTGGGGTCATTTGGGGTCACTCGGGGTCACTCTGGGGTCATTCTGGGTCACTCTGGGGTCATTCGGGGTCACTCTGGGGGTCATTTGGGGTCATTTGGGGTCACTCCGGAAACTTTCGGCCCCCGGAACCTTCGGGAGAAGCCGTTGTTTCTCTCCCGGAAGTGACGTCGAAGCGCGCCGGATGCACAGCCCGAGGCGCCGGCGGTGTCGCACTGAAACGGGGCCGGCCGGAACCGCGGGGAAGTTTTGGGCGCCCCGGAGGGGAGGTTTTGGGGTCCCGCGGGGATTTTTTGGGTTCCGAGGAGAGTTTTGGGGTCCCCAGAGGGGTTTTGGGGTCCCCGGGGGTGTTTTGGGGCTCCGGGGGGGGGTTTCGGGCGGGCTTTGGTCTCCCGGCAGCCGCGGTCTCGGGTTGGGGCCTGCGGGCCTGGCTGAGGCCTTCGCGGTTCCGGGGCCATTTGGGGTTTTCTGAGGGGTCCCATTCCCCTTCCGGGTTTTGGGGTCCCCTCCTCCTCTTTTAAACCCCCCTCCCCTTTTTGAGGGGCTTCCCCCCATTTTGGGGACCCCTCCCCATTCCCCCCTCCCCCGCCGTTTTTCTGGCCCCGCCGCCATGGCCGACCCCTCCCCCCAGCCCTCGGGGGGTCCCCGCGAGCCCCGAACGGGCCCGGATCGGTCCCGAGGCGCCCCCCGGGGCCGCCCCCCCGCGCGCACGCGCCTGCGGAACCGGCGCTTCGCGGCCCTCAGGGAGCTGCTCCGAGGTACCGGGGGGGACCCAAAGCGAGGGGACACCGAGCGCCACTGGGGGGCGAATCCCGGGAATTGGAGCCAAGTCCGGGAATCCCGGGGGGATTGGAGGGAATTCCGTGGGGTTTTGTGGGATCCTCCGGGAATCCCGGGGGGATTGGAGGGAATTCCGTGGGGTTTTGTGGGATCCTCCGGGAATCCCGGGGGGATTGGAGGGAATCCCAGGAACTCCGGGGGGATTTGAGGGAATCTCGGGGGGCTTAGAGGAAATTCTGTGGGGTTTTGTGGGATTTTCCTGGGGAATTTTTGAATTTTCTGGGATTTTCCCGAAATTCTCTGGGATTTCGATGGGATTCTGTGGGATTTTTTGGGGTTTGAGTGGAATTTTGATCAGATCTGGGGGGATTTTGAATGGATTTCTTTGGATTTTACTGGGATTTTGCGGGTTTTTCCCTCGGTTCCGGGGATTTTTGCTTCCCGCGCCCTCTGGGACCGCAATTCCTCATTTCCCGCTGTTTTTCCCGGTTTTTCCCCTTTCCAGAGGGCGATTACTTCAGCGAGGAGCAGATGCGGCTGCGGGCGCCGCGGCTCTTCCAGCACTACATCGGCCGCTTCCGAGAGCCCCAAAACCCCCGGAACCGGCCCCAAATCCTCGGGAATGAGCCCCGAATCCTCGGGAATGAGCCCAGAATCCTCGGGAATGAGCCCAGAATCCTCGGGAATGAGCCCAGAATCCTCGGGAATGAGCCCCGAATCCCGTCTGGAGAGGCCCAGAAACTGCGGGAGCTGCTGCTGAGCTCGCTGGGAGAGAGCCCGGGTGGGGATCGGGGTTTGGGGTCGGGGATTTGGGATTTGGGGTCGGGGATTTGGGGTCAGGGATTTGGGATTGGGGATTTGGGATTGGGGATTTGGGATTTGGGATCGGGGATTTGGGATTTGGGGTCGGGGATTTGGGATTTGGGATTGGGGATTTGGGATTTGGGGTCGGGGATTTGGGATTTGGGATTTGGAGATTTGGGATTGGGATTTGGGATCGGGGATTTGGGATTTGGGATCGGGGATTTGGGATTTGGGATCGGGGATTTGGGGTCGGGGATTTGGGATTTGGGGATTTGGGATTGGGATTTGGGATCGGGGATTTGGGATTTGGGATCGGGGATTTGGGATTTGGG